GCACGTTCCGGACTATCTCGCTATATATAGTAGGTTAATAAATAAAAATATAGTGATAAAAACAAAAAAGATACCAAGAGGGGAAATCAATTGAGCTGCGCTGTATATCAAAGACTTTATTAAATATTTGTCGTGAACTATTCATTGATAATGTTGCCGAATTGGGAGATGCCGATAAATTCGAATGAGAGTACGGTCATCATTTGCCGATCTAGTGGTATAGTTATCAATGTTTTTGTATTTTCTAGGAGACTATTTATGCATTTGTCACAGTCTATAAAGAAAATAGACACATCAAAAGCTAGATAACAAAGTAAATATGCTTTTTATTGCGTAATTAATATTTAATCAAATGAGATACCACCCACTTTTTCTGCACGTTCTGTCACTGAAAAAATTCGAACTTAAAGATTTTGTTACCTAGCTCTAGCTGTTCATTGTGCGAGCGGCGAGAAAATCACATCTCTATCCCTAAACTGTCGATATTAATTTTTCTACAAATTGATTGGCTTTGAAAGAAAATAATTTTGTCACAAAATTAGATTCGCCATCATAGATTATGGTATAAACTGTTTTGAAATTCAAAGGTATTTCAGTATATGATCTGGTGATATAAAGCATAGCAAGAACAACCAATGAATGACAATTACGAATCCATTAATGCACTTGTAGTAGGACTCTTTTTTAAGAGCTGATATTTCTAATTAACACAGTAAAATATTAATATATGCCATTTATGCAATTATTTTACTTGAGTCAAATAAAATATTGGAATTATAGAGGAAAAACCTATGAAGTTAATTTTCGAACACTGCATATAGTTTCATGAAACGTCACTATGACTGATTTTATTGAAAAATAAAAGCGCAGTTGAAAAGAGAATTTATTTTATAGTATTTCTGTCCTTGTTTTTAAAATTTCCTTCATAAGATCAAATGTCGTCTCTCGTAATACATTCGACATTGATTGAATCATTTATCTCAATCTGTTCAAAGACTAGCCTCACAGTTGGAAAAAAAATATGAACTACACAACATATATTATACAAGTGATGTTCAATTCATTTTTATGCGATGAAACAATTTCTTTCTTTCTTTGGGGTCATTCACACCCGACGAATTAAAATTGAATTAAGAAATATGATTGGTGTTGCTATGTGGAAACACCAATCATATTTCTTAATTCAACTTTAATTCGTCTAGTATGAATGGGATCTTTTTCTTCATGAAATGTCTTCATCTATTTTCGGTGTCTCCCCAACTGGTCCCTGATTGTGTCCCTAATTGATTTGTCCCAAATAAATTTCTTCTCGATTCGGCCCATGCTGAAAAAAATCGACTCCAAACTCGGTCCATTCCTAATTTGACCCTGATACGCCAACTAATTAAGATGAGTGAAATGAGCAATAGAGATAGTTTTTATTTTTCTGAATATTGAAGAAGTAAGTCACATATTTGAGTAACAAGGAAAAAAGACAACGAGTAACAACGACAAAATAGATATTATTTCTTTATCAAACTTGTTTTTACCGTGCGACCGCATTTGACAGCCAATTCTAATTTATCGAGCTCTCCTTTCTCATATGCTTGTAACAGGTGAATGAGCTTTTCGTCAATTTCATCATACAATTTCTTTCGCTTTTTCAGTTGCACTTGGCTCTCTTCCGACTTATGATGTTGATATTCGTGTTCATCCTTGAGTCGACGAATAAAGTCGTAAATATGAGGATGTTGAGGAAATATAGTAGACATTCGGTAATTGTAGCCTTAAACAGCGTTATTTGTGCGAGGTAACTTGTTTCGAATGTTATTATAGACATTCCAAATATCAACGGTAAAGCGTGCAGATTCTTGACAAACGTAATTTTCCACCATATAATCATTAAATTCTTCAGCATTACGAGATTCAGGAGTATAAGCATCCATCGCTTCAGTCCATACCGATTCTACCAGTGATGGTGGAATAAGAGCTAATCCCACAGCCGCTAAAAACCAATGATCAGCTCGCTTCTTGTCATCATCGGAAAAATCGTTGCTGCTGGCATTGCGTGATACTAGTCGTGTAAGTTTTGAATCTTGAACTTTTCGCCAAAGACATTGTGAATAATGGAAGAAGCAACCAGTAATTGTTGCGTTCGAAAATGTTTTTGAGAAAGCATTCATTGCGGCCACTTCGAAGTCACAAGTGAGAGTCTCTGGGTGATAACGAATGTTCATACGAGAACCAAGGGTGACGAGATGGTTAAAAATCTTTTCATATACAATTTGGTCTTTTTTCGACGTGAGACAGTAGACACATGGTATCATAAAACCATCGTAATATCCACAAATAATATAAATCTGAGCAAATAGTAAAGGCCGAGTGAGAAATGTTCCATCTGAATGCCATTTCGAGCAAGAAGCCAGATATTTGAGACTCCAATCAGATGCAAAGATAAGAAGACGCTCATTGTTACCTGAAAGACATAATAAATTAAAGGCTCATAGAAGCAAAGAAACTTACATGTTTCATCAACAAGTAGGAATGGCTCTCCGTGCTTCGTCAATCTCTATTCGCCTGTTAAGGTCAGTTCCGATAATGTTTTAGGCAGAGTTGGATAATTTGTTGCCCGATGATGGTATAGAGTTGAGTCAACATTAGAGAGAGTCGGGAAGAAGAGCCCTGTGGCCATACCAGGATTACTCATTCGAGCAGCAACGATATCTTCGCTGTAAATCTTTGAAATGGATGTTGTTTCTTCGCGTGCTCGTTTCTTCATTTTCGCCATGGTTTCTTCAATCACAATCTTGCTTGGTGAAGCTGTTTTACATGATTCGCAATGAGCACTCGGACTACGACCGAGAGTTGTATTATCAGCAGACAAAGTTAGAGTACTTGAGCAGAGTCGGTTTCGACAACGCCATTCAACACATGTCTTGTTTATGCGCTTGACAGTGTATTGAACGCCCAAATAATTCAGCACCTTGTGATTTCGTTCGGTAGTCGTAAAACGAAGCATGACGAACAAGTGGCAATAAGAATAATGAGTATAGCAATTAGAACGATGTTTCTGTTATACAATAGTTTGAATTTGAATGAATGATAGTCATCTCACGATATACGAATAATATATACTCTCGACTCTAATCACTGTCCTTTTTGATGTTGATTGAAAAATTAATTAGGGACGAAATTGGAATCGTCTGAAATTGATATGGGCCTAATTTGGAAACAATTAAAGTAAGCCAATCTATCTTAATTGACAATCAGGGACGAGTTGGGGGTAGACCTCTATTTTCATATAACCGACGACGACGAAGATGACGAAGCGACTATCTATTGAACTATGAGAAATTGACCGAAAGGAAACACCATTCGCTGACTATTATTCTAATGAATGATACATCGATGTCATACTTTTCTTAATGAATTCATCTATTCTAGTCAAAATAAAATATGAATCAATTTGGTGTTTGTCTTCTGGATCTACCCGACGAGATACTACTTATTATTTTGAAAAAACTGAGCAATATTGATGTTCTTTATTCGTTATTGAATATTAATAATGAACGGCTTGATATTCTAGCACAAGAAAAAATCTTCAATAGCATATTTAATTTTGTATCGCTCGATCCTATTTGTTCAATTGACCGCTTCAAACTTGATCGCTTTTGCATCGATATATTGCCGAGCATTCATGAGAATGTCAAATATTTTATTCTTAAACCAGATTTGATGGAATGTATTCTTCTTGCTAGCGACTATCCAAATCTAACCAAAATAAAACTTTTTAATTTCAAAAAAGAATTCGTTTTACATTATTTTGCAAGTAAGTGGAATAACAAAAAACAAGACTGATATTAAATAAAAACAGACTAAACAAAGTATGTTATTGTTTTTTATTTATTTAGATGAATCACCTCTTCGACATATCTTTCAACAACAAATTACAGATCTTATTCTTGTAAATCATGACACAGACAAGCTGATAGGACCATCGAAAAATTATACTGTAAATGTGTATGCACATATTTTGAATTTCTTTAAAAATTTAAAACATTTGAATATTATTGGATCATTCAATATGTCAAATCCGTGCTTGACACTTAGTAATTTACCATCGAATACTTTCCACTCTTCGACTCTTACTTATTTATGTATCGATGTGTACACTTTAGACGATTGTCTTTATATACTTGATGGTAGACTCAAACAATTAACTACACTTATTGTTCGAATAGGTTACATAGATAACTCATCATCGATCATTCACAACATGGTAAATCGTAACAAATGTAGTTGATTATGAGACGAAGTTGACTATGTATTCTGTACACTTTTGATTTAAAAAATGAGAGGTCATATTCTAGCAATAAGTAGGACTTGATGAGACTAGAAAAATCCTCAAAGGATTAGTCTTCGGATCCACGAAAGATGCACACGGAAATGTGAACGAGGCTTCCGAAATAGAATGCACCATTTCAAATCCACTACATCCACACCATCATTCCAACCTTTACTCATACGTTTACACCAACCCGCTCGTGCGCAACTTTCGGAATTTCTTTGTCTTCTTAGAGCTAATTGACTAAGATACAAATGTTTCATCTTTAAAACGCGAATTATAGACAGATAATTTTTTGCGCTTGAATCACAAGATTGAAACTTTTCAAAAGTCAAATTTCTTATATCAAGACTCCTCGATAGTAGTGCCCTTACATTTTCTTATTCAATCTTAGAGTCATGTAGAGATTGTTGTAATCTTTTTGTTGATTGATTAGATAGTCGCAACTAAAACATATGACTAAAATATTACGATTATTATAAAACGAATTGTTATTTGTCTGATAGTTTAGTGAATGTGATAATTGACAAAAACGATCGAAAAATAGATCTTTTCTACACTAATTAAACGAGATAAAGCAATTAATGGCATCATTGTTTACTAATCAATGGGTACTAATTCTAATGTATTTAAGTAATAAAACTTGATACTTCTTCGCTATAGCAGTTAGCTTTATCAAATAAACAGAACACCTTGATTTTTACAACAGTTGTACATTTCAGTCTCACGAAACTTTTAGTAGCGCGTAAAATACTTTTGTCTGTATGATTTTTCTAATCTCATCAAGTTCTACTTATTGCTAGAATATGATCTCTAAAGCTTTCAATCAGTTAGTGGGATTTTCTTGTTGGTTGAGTTTGAATTTGATAATGCAATTAATAAGACTTCCAGAAAAAAATAGATATATAAGTTCGTACCATATAAGTACTTGTAAATTGGAATATTTTTGTTTCGCCATTCATCATTGCGTATTATGACATGTGAAGGATCATGGACATTAGATGGAATCAGTTTTTTACTGTAGTACTAGTCCTTCTGAGAATAGATATATGATCGATACTATTTGTTATGATCTAAAATTACAAAACGAAATTTGCTGAATGTCGTCTATCATTATTAAAAGACAAGCTCTATATTTCAAAGAAAACAAAGAAGAATGTTAGGGAAATAGTTTATCAAGTAATTAATTGTATACCTGAGCTTATTTTTTTAATTTAGTCAAGGGATGTTTATTTTTATTTTTAGGATAATTTATCTAATATGAAATGTTTCTCTTTAAAATGTGATACTCAAATTAGCTTACATGATACTAATTTTCTACCTCTTTTTCGTCGTATGTCAAATTTGGAAAAATTAACTTTATATCTTCGTATAAAAAATCGAGATAGATTCGTTGATGGTACTCTTCTTCAAAATGAAATTCTCGTTTATATGCCACAACTTCATTCACTCACTTTCTATATTTGTACTTGTATCAATACTGTTGGTTTACTACATCATTTATCTAGCGAAGATGTCCAACGAACATTTACCAATATCGGACAACAACATGTAGTCAGTATCATCAATTATATTAGTTCCGAAAAAATGACATGTTCTGTCTTCTCAATCCCTTTCACATTTGATTATCTCGAAAATATTGGTCATATGATTCCAAATATTATATTTAATTATGTTACATATTTGGTGGTAAGAGATATGATTCCATTCAATCGTGAATTCTTCATTCAAGTTGCTCGAACTTTTCCGTTACTAAAGACTTTTCGTATTTTAAATATGGAATCACAGTCATGTCAACTTACCAATAGTCAATTATACGAAATTGCTGAATATCCTCATCTTACCTATCTTGACATGCTATGTGGACATATTGATTATCTTGAGCAATTTTTAAATGAAACAAAGACATACGTACCATGTCTAACAAAATTAAAAGTCGTTTATAATAACTTAAGAATTGTTACAAATAACTTTACAAGAGAAGAAACACGACGCAATTGTGTTAAAATAAAACGACTACTGATGTTAATACCGTTGGTACATACTAAAGAGTTTTATCTTCAGTTTCCATTGTTATAAATAGAATTCTGTTTTGATTTGTTTAATAAAATTAAACGCAAAATATATCTTATTTTGTACCACAATACTGATATGATATACAGGGTGGCTATAAGGAAGGTAACACCGTATTTTCTCGATTTGCTTGTTATCCATGGGCAGTTGAGTCTCATATTTATACTACACATACTGGGTGATAGAAGTTAAAGTCGCACCATATGAGCATTAATTAGTATTAGAGACGTAACAATACCAATACGGTATTGGGATTGTTAAATCAGTAATTATGTATTAATTAGTTAAGTAATATTGATTAATTAACATTGATTGTTATCACAGACCATGGCTGACATTATAAATTGGCATTAGTTAGTGTTACAAGAGTTATTCTATGTTTCACATTTTAATCCTACGAAGGTTGCACTGACAGCTTTCTATTTTAATTGCAATTTCAATTTAATTGTAATTACTATGATATTTCTAGTCGTACTTTAAACTGTAATTCTCATCTTATTTTTTAATTATAATTAATTATTTCGAAAAGCCGCCTATCCTCTTACTGATTAGACAGATACAAACAAAATCCTTTTCATCTATATGATGATGATCAACATTTATTGTTTTAAAAATGAAATAAACAAAAAAAGATAAAATATTTTGCTTGTTTGTTGATAAATTTTCTTTTAAAAATAAAACAAAAAAAAATTATTTTTTTTGCTCGTTTGGTAGTAATTGTTTTTCAAGAGCCTCTAAAAAAACCAAAACAAAAAATTAAGAATC